TTTACGTTATTGGAATCGATGATTAGTACCACTGTCTTAATCAAAAGTGACTAATGTTGGGTTTTTATTTATTTGCTTTAAGTTGATTTTAATTATATGCTTAGCTTAATTAATCAAATCCAAACCCCCCCCCCTTCGTATTTACTTTTATTCAGTCAACTTGTACTTGATTAGTTTGACTATAATAAGTTGAAACCGAGTCTCTGTGGAATCGAACCGACTTACCGCTATTACAATTTTGGTTGTAATTTGCCGTAGTTGGAACTTATTATTTGTCGGACTCGGCATCCGTCAGCTACATAGCTTATATGGTTTCTTCATTCATCCATAAGTAGATATTCTATTGTGACTTATTCGCTCAGCGAGAAATCACTTGTTCTTTACATGCGGCCATTAAATTACCCTTGCAATAAAGAAACCCTATCTTAACACTACAGTTCACGTTTCACCATCTTCAAACTTCCAAATACATCGACGCTTTCGTCTTCTTCAAACTTCTCAAGATTTCAATTTCAAGCCGATAAATGAGTAAGAAAAAGAAAGAAGAGTATCTTGATGGATATGTGGTTTGTACAAATTAAAACTGCAGCTCAATGCCCTTTTATATCGAACAATAATCACTTGTACGGTAAGCCTATTTCTTCATAGAAATCAAGAAAGATAGTTTGTTTTGATAGTTTATGATTTATCATCTCCTTCGGGCACTTCTATTATTTAGAGTTTTTTTTTTTTTTTTTTTTTTTTTTTTTTTTTTTTTGTCATCATGGACCTGTTTCCTATTATTTTCTTAAATCCGTTTTATTGTATGGAGGTTGTTTTGAATTCTTCAATAATTTTGTTTCTTCAAGCCTAATATCAATAATTTTATAACTTTTGTAATGAAAAGTCATTTATTCTAAATGAAAGGAAAGTTATTTTTTCTAACTTTAATTAATATATTGTTTTCAATTTTCAGCCAATTGATTGTTTTTTTTATTATACTAGGATGATACTCACGCAGTGCAACGAAATATGTCTTGATTTTAATGTTTCGTTTTATATTTTGGTTCTATTGATGTTATAATGCAATTTCATGTGGTTTTGAGAAAACGAAAATATTTTTATTTTTGAATAAAATATAAATTTGAATATACTATAAAAACTTGAAAAAATTAATCGATATTTTTATCAAATTAACTATTTAAAAGTTCTCGTTTTTGTCTTTAATTCAATTTTTTGTTATAATTTAACCGAAGTTTACCAACAAACTAATTTATTTTCGGTCTAATAAAATAATTTTCTTAAGATAATAATTAAGTATTCTGTTATAACTCAATGATTATTCTATTATATTTCAGATTTTTATATTTAAAATGATTTTTATTTGCAATTAGTTATACGAATTCAAACATGAAACTTTAATAAGAGGTACCAACGCACATTATACTTGTAATCTTGAATTTTATGTAATATGAATCAATAAGCAGTACTTATGCATAAAAAAATATTTTCAAGAATTTTTATAAAATGTTTTATAATACAATATAGATAAAATCATGCATTCTTATTAACTTGATCATAAAATATATTTACAATAAATCGATAATATTTAACGATATTGATTAAGATAGAGGAAGGATCTTGTCATAATCATAGGGCTTCATTAAAACTCACAGTATATTTGGTAAAAAGTATTAAGTAATAATTAATAATAAAAAAAAATTTATTTGGTTTTTTATAATATAATTAATATATTTTTTGAAAAGTCCAAATTTTCATTTTAAATTAAACTGAAAATTCATTCTATTTTTATTCCTTGTAACTTTTTATTTCCATACGTGTTTTCATTCCCTTGTACGAAACAAACGCCCCCTCAACCTGAATCTGTGACCTACGGCCACGATCATTTCTCAACGACATCCACGGCTCTGAGACAAATCACATGTATAATCTTTAAAGTCGGTGATTCGTACCCAAGAAAAGCCCTCGTCTTCTTTTTCTCGATTTACGATTGCAACCCGATTCTTACCCAAATAGACTGCGATTTGGTCCACTCTCCCTCTCACACCGATCGTATCTCGGTGCTCCATCGGCGATGGGTTCACTGAAAATGGAAGACATGTCTCTGCCCACCCTCTTTGAGCAGGCTCGCAAAATTCACCTCCTTGCAAACGATTCTGCCGTCGAAAAGGTGTGTTTGTGTGTATTCGTATTCTTGATCGAGTTTATTTACATGTCTATATGCGATTACAATTTGTTGTTTGTAGGAGACATTGAGAAAGAGCTGCGAAGCATTACAACGATGCGAGGAAATGATTAGCAAATTAGGGTTGTTTTCAACTAACGAGACCAAGGAAGAAATCGGTACTACAAACCTTAAGTATATTCTGGTAAACGTTACTTTTTGTTATTCTATTGGTCATCATGTCGATATTTGAGGACTTATGTATCTGTGCTCTGTTATTTGGTGGTTTACATGTGATATCTTTCAAATTTAACTCTTTGGCCTTGTTTATTGGTCTGGACCAGTTAAATGGGGAATGATGTAGACTAGTCTCTTGATTTTGTCGTTTTTCAACTAACGAGAAAGTACCAGCACGAAAAGAATAGTTTTCCTTTTTGTGTTTAAAACCTTCTATGAATATTTGAACTGAAGATGGAGTTCTCTATAGTACAACAGCAATAATTCCATCATTGACTGGTTAGGTTAGGCAAAATGTAGCCAAATAGAAATTATATATACAAACAGGTTGTATGATATCTCGTTTTCGTCATCAAATCTCACACCTGTAAGATAGCTGTGACAACTCACATCCCTTGCTTACGACACCCATAACCTCAACCATTAAGACATTGTAGGAAGTGGGGCGGAGTCTAAACTAACACTAAAGTGCATGACTAGCAGAAGCATAATATAATACCATTGAATTATAAAACGATATTTATTAGTCATGAAAAATCCTATAATTATTAGTAACAAATCTTTCACACAGCTACACATCCATTATTCCTTTTCCCGTTTCCCTAGATGCTCTTGCTTCAAAACCTGAGAAAAATGCAGGGAGCGAACTGTGAACAACAACACTTATAAAGCAACCATGCTCTAGGACAGAAAAATATTTATGCAATAAGGGTTAGGAGATGTCGATATCAAAGGAATAATCATTTGCCTAATGGAATAGCCAATTAAATAAGGATGTGGCGTAAGATGAATTAGTTTCCTACACATAACTCCATAAATCGGAAAAGTTTCTGACACATGACTCCATAAATATGATAGTGTCTGACTCCATAAATCATACTTAACAAAATTAAGTACGAATGTCGCCATAATAATTGTAGCTAGAACATTAATCATCATCCTCAAGTGTGAGATTGTATAGGCTTTTATAGACTCAGCATTACCTGGATCTATCATCCGGGAACAATCACTGATGTCTTAAATGACTCAATCCTTCCATGTAGGAATGCCATATGTATTATTTCCTGATCACAATCATTTAAAAGACCTTTAGTTTTGTGGCCATGGAGGTTCAAATGCGGTGACTCTGGGCTATTTGCAAAGCAGGTGGTCCCCCTGGGATTAGTCGGCTCGCATAGCGGGGTGGATATCCAGGTTAATAAAAAAAAGACGTTAGTTTAATCTTATATTTTGTAGGAATGTCATATTTATAGAACACTAGTAATCTTGCATCGATGCCAAGGATGGTGAATGATACAATTCTCATTCTTGCATTGACACCATGTAGGCTAGCTAACGATACAGAATTCACTTCATGCATGTCCAAAGATGCATGATTAAATAATTTATTATTATGCATAAAGGAGTTGTAGCTCAATATTATCATGAACACTATTGAATTACCACAACCTTCATTTAAGAATTTTAAGAGAAATCAATAATGAGATTTTTTTAATCCAAAAGGTCTAGCGTAATGAAACAAACAATAGGCCCGAAGTTGAAGTGTATAAAAACCTACCTCAACTATTTATTCTAAGGTAAGCTTTCTTCTCTCCAAAGTTCCAATCCTTAAGGTAACATAAAATCCATCGTTACATCGTGATCCTTAAGAACCTTCATCAATAATGTTAAGATGAGTAGATCTGTTTAAACAGTTTTTGTGGTTGTCTTTCACCTAAAACCCCAAGTTAAGGGGTAACATACACCTCAACAGGGGATGGCCATACTAACATACTTAATTCATTTAAGGGATGGTTGACCTTGCAACACTTGGTTTTAGCTATGGGAATTGCACACTCACTTGTACCTGGGATTCGGACCAGACAGCAAGTCAAAGGCTGTCTCATTCTTTCATCGTTTCTGATTAAAAGCAGCCTTGAACTGCCTTCTTACCCATTCTACACTTCAACTTTTGGTTGTTTGATTGACTTTCAGCCGCAAGATATATACCCCTATACATGCATCTGGCTTTTCCAACTTTCTACGCTAGTATTCCATTGCCCAATCCTTAATAGTCCAAGTAGCATCCTCAACTTAATTAGATTTGTACTTATGCTTATGTTTAGCGTAATTGGCCACATTGAAGATACAATCCTTAGTATGAGGGGGATTATATATTTCTGTTCAAAATTTTTATGGGTTCTCACAGTAGCTCATGTAATTGACGGCTTGGTTGAAATTTGGGAACATTAATAAGGGGGAAGTATACATTCCTATTCAAAATTTTATGAGTTCTCACAGTAGCTCTAGACTTGCATTGTTAGACGGTGCACATAAATCTTCCTCGAACTCATAATCTGGGACCTACTGGATTGGGGTTGGACCTTTTGGGGACTTTGATCTTGAGTTAGATTAGGTCTTCAAGAATTAAGAAGTTGTGATGGGCCTTCATATCTGTCAATGCTTGCAAATGAAGGTCGTTCATATGTGGCATGACATCTTCTGTTCTAAATAGGTCAGAAAAAGCATAAACAGACATATTAATGCGAGTTCATACTTTGTCTTGAACTATGCAGTTAATCGCTCCGCATAGTGGTGGGTAATAATGGTCCTGCTAATAGCACCACTAACTACCGTTATTTAGTTGCTGTGCTATAGCCGCAATTGTAGGTGGATTTGTTTGGTTTTTAATTTCAACCAGGCTGCATCTTTTTCTTTCTGATTTTGATGTTGGACTTCGTCCTTTAATCCCACAGCTTATGTGGTTTTGTCTTATGATTCACTTCTGATAATTTTCATTGAATGTTAAATCTCTGTCAATGTTAGAAGAAATAAATGTGTGTGGTGCTACTTGGATTGAACGAGATTGCTCTTTTCGTAAGATCCCAGAGACATGGTTCTCATTGTGGCTTTTGGGAACTTGTAATATATATGGTTTGTTATGGGAACAGGTGCCATTTTATCTTGCTGAATTGATGGAGAAGACTGGATATGATAACAGGATAGAGGTTTTGAAGGTTTCTTTGGCTAAGTTAAAGGTATTGTTATCAATTTAAGATATGCCTGTGAAACATATACTGGAGTTCTTGCATACATACTAAACATTGAATGTACTCCTCTGTAGGAATTTATTTCATTCTGTGATGCAATGGAGCTTGTACCTGAAGATGAGTTGGAAGCATCTGTACATGGAGGTCCAAATACTGTTGTAGATAGGAGGGCTAAGAAGGTAGCTTTGGTTCATATATCCCCTTAAAACTAATTGTTTCAATTGAAGTCTACTTTAATTGCTCCCTGCTTCACTGAAGTCTCCCTCATTTCCCTTGTGCGATTGTCATATGTTTCAACAATATTAAGATGCTAACTCCAATTGTCCCCATCTAGATTGCTCGGTTCAAGCGCCAACGTGCTGCAGAATCAAAGCTCTTAGAATTGAAAGAACGGAAGGAACGACGTGGGAGGTCAACCAAAGCAGCAGCCCTATCTACTCCTGTTGATGCTGGAGATGATGACGTGTTCGATGATGATGGGGAAGAAGAAAGAGAGGTAGGTTGTAGTGCATGATTATTTTGGTTGCCTCTTTAACAACAATCTCAGAACCATTTTGGCTGTCTGGCTGGTGTAGTATGAGACTATGAGATACCATAAATCTAATGCTTATAATCTGGGAGCCTGGTGAACTGCCTTCCTTATACCATAAATAAGCAATGCTATAAGGGTAAGTAGCAACTTTATCCATAAAAATAAGGGCTTTACGAGGACTCATTTTTTGACTAATCCTTTTAGGCAGTTCTCTCTCTTTCTCGACTTGCCAAAATACAGTTTACACTTTTAAAGAAAAATGAACTATTTAGGCTATAACATGTACCTTTGATCATTTTCTTTTGTGCTTTCTTCATTTCTTGGCCAAGATACATCTCTATCTTTTGCAAGAGAGGCCAGGCTAGCAGACAGGATTAACTGTTGGAGGTGCACACATAAGTAACAAAAGTTGCGTGGTTTTAGGGACTGTCCTGTAAATTAGGTTGTTCAAGACAATTAACCTGAATTCGCTTCTTTTCTGCAGCACTTGACCAACTTTATCTATTTTAGACAACAATCTCTTGAAATTCTGATTTTAACTCACCTTTCAAGATTTGGGGTTTCTTGCATATTCTGTAATCTTGTATATCCTCAATTGTTAACCCCATACCCTGACCCATGGCCAGTGCATGTTTTGACCTAGATTGAATGTCATTAAATTCTGATTTATTTTTTAAAGTATACTCTCTCTAAAATTAACATTAATTTACTTTAGTTGATTTAATATAAATCCTACTTTCTTAGCTGGTTGAATGTAATTCTAACGTGACATGGAAGTTCACACTTATTATTAACATCAGTGTGGTCAATAAATCCATTCATTAACTCCAGTACTGCACTTAGGGTTGGAAGGTTCTAGCTATGATATAGGAAGAAAGGAATTTCAAGTTGCAAATTTACATGGTATCCAAGGTTTCATGTATTTTCTTTGATGTATTGTTTAGGATTTTTTACTTCAGCTTCACTTATTCCATTTTCCTTTTTGTAATTTGTAGGCATGGCTTGCTTCAATCTCGTTGGCTATTTACAAGGTTGCTGTCCATAATCTTCGACCTATATGACTATATCTTCTCTTCACTTGTTTTGTTCATCATTCTGTGATTTAATCATAATGCAGGCTCTTGATCTAATGGAAATGATGAAGAAAGAGGAGGAAATGCTTTCAGCAATAAAGGAAAAGCAAGAGAAGGTATAACTTGGTTATTATGGGAGTTGATCATGAAATGTGTGCATGCAAATCTGTCTTAAGCAAGATTGAAAATACCAAAATAGGAATAAAACTTGATATGATAGTATTAGAACTGTTCAAATAAAATCATATTCGTAAACCAGAAACATATATAAACTCTTGAGTGTGGAATGTTCATCAAATTAGTCAATTTGACTTAAAATTTGCTCTAGTTGTGCTGCAAATGCTACTGAAATGGTTATTGACTAATGCAAAAGAAGCTCATCCATTCACTGCATTCCTTGTTTCTGGGGTAATTTATAGAAATAAGCAAGTATAAGAATCAAATCTCTCCTGCTGGTTATTGGTTGGCTTTATTGAGGGATGGACGGAGTAGGGGTTTGGGGGGATTTGAGAAAAAGAACTTGAATAATGTTGTTTTATTGGTATCGAGTGTGCCACCTGTCAGATTGATGAGCAGTTTACCAGTATTCTCACCTGTCTTGCATGAGAGAATTGTGTAGAGTTGGTGATAATTGGCCACCATAAGTTAAAAATGAAGCATCTGTGTATAATAAAAGATAAGTAGTTATTTTCTTGTGATTGTGAGCTTATATTGTTTGCAGGAAGGAAATACCGAAATTTCACAGGCCATTCTTGAGGAACGTGCCAAGACTGTCGAAGACTGGCATCGTAATGCTGCGGCTCGAGCTCGATACACAAAACCAGCAGCACCAATTACATGTGCTACTTTTGCACAAGATGTTTTAGAGGGGAGAGCTAATGTTTCACAAACACATGATCACAAACACCAACCACTAATGTTTGGACCAGCTAGTCTTGTGGGTGGAGGCCTAACAAGTGAAAGGGAAAGAATTGCTGCACAGGTTTTCCAACCTGGTCACAGGTACCATATTTGATTACCATTTTAATCAATTTGTTCCAATTCCATACCATGTAACTTGTCTCCCCATAAATACTTGCTAGACGTTGTGTGAATATATACATTGTTTACATTATGATACGTTTTCAGAATGCCAACGATGAGCATAGAAGAAGCTGGATTGAAGGAGATGGAGATGATGAACAAATGGCAAGAGAATACTGCTAAAATGATGGAAGAAGCTAATTCTTCGTGGCACACTGAAAAGTGGAAACCAAGAGCAGGTGGTGGTGATGACGATGAAGATGAAGACGATGATGCTGCACAAGATAAGGCAAGGGCCTTTGATGACTGGAAAGATGATAACCCTCGAGGTGCAGGAAATTCAAAGCTCACTCCTTGTGGCTAGACTCTAAATATTATTTCATGATGATGTACCATTGGGCACCAGCTGAGATAGCCGTATGTACCATTGAGGTTGTTTTTATCAAGATTGTGCATCACAAAGTTGTACAAATTCTTTGCTGAACCCTCTAAACCCAATACACCTTAAAGATCTGCTGTAATTGTTATCTTCTGAATGCATTTTATCGTATGAGATTTGCTTGATACATTCCGACTGAACTGGACGTAACTAGTTGTCTGTATAATGCCAGTACAAAATGTAAAAATGACCAGATTGTATTTGTAATGGTTAATCAAGTGACATAAGGGGGATCCATGAAAGCCCATTCAAAAACTTGCTCATACTGAACTGCAGCATTATCCCATGAGCAGTCCCTTTCCATTCCTCTCCTCATCAATCCTTCCCAAGAAGTCTTGTGCTCCCTGTATGTCCTTATAGCAACCCTCAGTGCCTACAACATCCATCAATCAATCACAAATTCAATTTCCATTCTTTATTACAGTTTCTTTAAGTAATACCCATGTAAAATAACTTACATCCAACATGCATTCTTTTGTCAATGGTGCGAAGGCCCATCTGTTCAATATCGCATAGTAATGTAACACTCAGAAGCGGATAAATCTACCAATAATTTCTGATGTGGAGAAATACATACCCGGTACCTTCTTCACCTTTGCCTTCAGCAAATGGATTGAAAGTCTTCACAGTGTCCTGAAATATATAAAAAGGTCTGTTTGTTAGTAGCTTAACGAGACTCGCAACTTATTTGGTCAACTACACATATATTTGTTTGGTAGTGGCTTAATGATATAGAAAGTGACTTATTTAGTAAGCTTCTTGGGGAGTTTTATGCAGAAATTCAAGTTTCTTCCAAACCTGTCCCTTCTAATTAACAAACACGCACCTTCCATCTATTAAAAAAACCCTCCCAAATAAAAAACTTCTCAATCTATATAGACAGATTAATCCACAGAAACAGTTTATTCATACAGAACTTAATGAAAAACCAACCAGACAACCCCTAAACCGTTGTTTCACGAATTTCTCACAATCTTTGTGAACGAAATTGAACACACACAAAATCTTGCTTTAACTCACTTTAAGTCCTCCGGTTCCATGGACAACTGGTATAGTTCCGTATCTCATTGCATATAGTTGATTTAGACCACAAGGCTCAAATCTTGAGGGCATTAATAGAATATCGCATCTGCACATTTCACATGTATGAGTGAGCTTCTTCATAATAAACTTTGTGAAACATAGACTATGATCCATACCCTGCAGTTATGCGGTGAGAAATGGGAACATTAAACCCAACCCATCCTCGGAATTGATCACTAAATGATGTTTCAGTCGCTCTCATCCACTCTTCGTATTGTTTCTCTCCAGATCCAAGCATAATCTGAAACAAATATTATGTTTATTCATTATAATACAAAACTCAAGTTCCCATCAACTCCAAATAGAATAAGCAGATCAATTATATTCTCAAAATAAAGACTTAATTGCTTACAAATTGAACATCATCTTGTAGCAAGTTTGGAGTTGCAGAGAGAAGTATATCGATGCCTTTCTGGTAGTCCAATCTCCCAATAAACCCAACCTATTACATAAAACCAGCTTCACTCCATTAGCAAAGAGGAAGTTGTGTTCACTAAAATGCATCCATCAATGGAGATATCTACCAATGGGCAATCAGGCAGAACTGCAAGACCTAATTCCTTTTGCAGTGCAATCTTGCACTTAATCTGCATTTCGCAAACACAATCTTGAAATCACTGATCTAAGTGTCTTTTGAATACAAGCGGTTATAATGTTTCAGTAAACATTTATACATCAAGGAACTTGCAATGACCACCTTTCCAGAAATGTCATCCATAGAGTAATGAGAAGCAATATGCTCATCAGAGGACGGATCCCATTCAGTAACATCAATACCATTTGTGATTCCTGCATAACCATGTAATCATCATCACAACTTTTGGGTACTCACCATAGATTACTGGCCACAATGCCACATACCATTCACAACAAACTTTCGGCTACTCAGTAGCTCATTTAGACCATATCCACCTTCTGGGGTTGTTATTTCCCAAGAATAACCCTAAATTAAAAGATCATTAAGATATTAAGTATATCCACAGGGGGAAGTCCTAAGGAAACATTGAACATAATACTTTACCTGGCTAACAGTCAATATTCGGTCAGCAGTGACAATTGCACCTTTTAATATATTAACAGCTTGACCTGTGTCAAGAGCATGCGTCCTTGCCCAAGTAGGAAATACCCATTCCAAAGCTCCATACCACTCCAGGGGCAATCCCAAATTACCGTAAGTTGCTGCAGGCTCAATTCCCTTTCATATGAACATAAATTTAAATTACAAATAAATAAGTAGTCTGGAATAAGCTCTACCATAAGCTAATTGACCAAAGAATCCTACCTGGTGTGCAAGATTATGTATCGCAATGATACTCCGAGCATCTTTATAGACTCCATTTGGACGATACTTTGCTGCCAATAGTCTAAAACAGAAACCCAATGCAATTCAGCAGATGTGAATGAAAGAAGGTCTTTTAGAAATGAAAGAAATTTGCACAAGGAGGATGGAGAAGAAGGCAGAAAGGTGCTAGAATAACAGATGCCATAATGCAACTTTTTTATGATATACATAAAGGAACACCAGAGGTGTTAAGTGAGTTGATCACATACACTGGTACAAGCCCTGCATGCCAATCATTAGCAAGAAACAAACAATTTTCTCCATATGTAAACCCTCCCAAAGGAAGCACTAAAGGAGCTTCACATGCTGCTTGACAAAGTAAGGTGAACCGAAACTGCTTAATCAAACAAGGGGGAGCGGAAAAAAGAGAAAATATGTTATTGTTCATAGAAAAGATTTTAACTTTTATGTCATCAGGCTTAACTTCCTCAGACTACCTGGTTATCACCAAATGCACCATAGATATCACCATACGGATTTCCAGGACGATGGTAGGAAGGGTGGTCGACAAACACCTGAAAACAACAAATGACACAAGATTTAGCAATTAAAGATGATAAAAAATGAGATGGAGACTGATAAATAAGAATCTTCATACCCAATCAACACCTGCTCTGTACTCATGAAAGAAATCAACCTGTTGGATCCCACCAAAGCAGTGAACCTTAGTTACACAATTAAGATTGGTGGCACCAGCAAACTTATCATCAGAAGGGTCACCATGCAAATATCTAGGCGAAACAACCATTACACGGTGTCCGCGTGCTGCAAGTGCAATAGGCAAAGAACCACAAACATCTCCTAATCCCCCTGTTTTCGAGTATGGTGATGCCTCAGAAGTAACAAAAACAATGTTGTATGTCAGTTCTGTAAGTCTTTCTTCTATTAATTCATCACTCACACTTGCTTCGTATTTGTCAGCCAATATGTCATCATAGAAGTTGCCAACTTCAAAGTCACCTGGGAGTTCAAGCAGGAACTACATGTCATCATCCAAAACTATATATCTATACAATAGAACATCATTGTACAACAATTTGTTCATCACTTCCATAGAAACTAGAGAGTTTCAAGATTAATCCGGTAGAGGAAATCTACATTGCCATACATTATTGCCAAACCCTAATAGAAAGATGGGTTGTATGAAGGCATTCTACCTTTAATAGAAAGATGGCTTCAGTTAAGAACTACACCTTTAAACTTAAAAACTGATATCAGTTTCAGTTTAAAACCACACCTTTAAACCTAGAAAATTGCTAATTACATTATGCTCTATAACAAAGTGATGTATAACTATAAATAAGATCAGATCAACATAATGTGTACAGCAAAAGAGAATCACAGTGGCAAAAGCAAACAACAACAACATACCAGATTGAGGAATTAATTGAAACTCAGCAACTGTATCTTTCTCAATACCCAATAAAAAGCCATCATTTTCTTCGTCTTCATGGGTAGAATAGCCGTCTTCTTCAAAGTTCTTACCAATCACCCTTAACTTGAAATGGTTACTTCCCTTTATATTATTGGAACAGTAAGAAAACCCCAATTGGCTACTAAAATCCGATATCAGTGGCGGCTTGTGTGTTATGTTGTGGGTAGATTTGGCAGTGAAAATAGGGTATGAAAACAGCAGAGTCTTCATGAATTGGAGAGGAGCAGACTGCGTGTGGAGAGAAACAGAAAGGGGTGAAATAGCCGATTGAGGAGGCAAAGGATCGTCAAAGTCTTAATTTTACAATATGAAGTATTCCATTTTTATGCTTTGCTCTGGAGTGGAATTGAAGTGTGAGAGTCAGTCGGTGGTGTCCTAATCGTGAACCTCAAGGCAACAAAGAAGCCAGTACACCCCTGCTACCCTACACAAAATCTGCCAGACATTTCTATGTGTTTTAGAGGGAGACAGATGATGACCGTTAATTTGTTTTTTCTTTTCACTTTGATAATTTTTACATATGGTTTGTTTTCGGACCCATTTATTATATCAGTATTATATTATAAAATATTTGATAAATATTTTTAAAATCATTTTTTATGTATAAAATATTGTTTACTGATATATATATATATATATATATTATTTAAAATT